GGGAACGGGTTTGATGACAACCTGGTGGCAGCAAAAAATCAGCCAAAGCAAATCATCAGAGAGTGTAAGGTGCTCACTTGTTCTTTATCATTAGTTCCAGCATAAAAGTCCACGCCGAGACGGGGATTAGGTGCTCGAATGCTGAAGAGGAAGAGTTGATGGTGAGGCACGTTGCAAGGAAATGTTGATATATCACCGGCACGTACGTGATGATGTGAGGAACGTCCGGAATATTCTTATACGCAATGAACCATTCGTAAGAATTTTCCGAAGTAACGACGGGGTGCTCAGGAATCGGTTCCCCGTCCTTTGGGAACCAATGTCCTCCAAAAGTACTTCCATTGGTGTGGAGACTGATGGTGTATGCGCTTTCCTTGCCATGGACGGCTTCAATCTTCCACTAAATAATATCGGCAAAAAGACATTAGCAGGTTTGACCATCCGGAACGTATGTAGACGCATGATACTCACGACCTGACGCTCAATGAACGGTGGCGACTGTGGCGCGACGGCCACAACGTCGTCAACGCCGTTTCCAGTGGCATACAAACCACCGTATCCGGCAGCAGGAGAGGCTCTGAGAGTATACAGGCCACTTGGAAAAGACATATCTGCAGGTATTCGATAAGATGTTTGAAATCGAGAAAGTGGGAGGTGATGGTTACAACCTTCGAATTGAGCCTGCTTTTATATCGCCAGGAAAGGCAGTTTAGCCGAGTCCTCCCGGCACATTCACTGCTTGTCAACTATCCCCACCTCATCCCCTTTTGAGCCGCTGTGCCTCGCCGCACTTTCAGTGGAGCCTTCGTCCTTTTTTGACCTAGCTCCATCTTGCGCGCGCCGGCGCTGCGTGAGCTGAAGATCCAGATTTCTCTGAATCGGTAGAGTGCCCTTCAATGCGCATGCTGTATCATCTGACGAACTTCCACAGAAGTCTGGATTTGTCTGACAGACTCTTGAGCGGTGGACCTGGTTTGCCACCTATCGAACTACCGCATTTGCTGCTCTCAACAGTAAGGGCTGAATGTGCTCGAGGTGCTAGTGTCAATTCGTCGCTCAGGAACATTCTAGCAATCCGAATGGATTGTCAAGTTTTCAAGGC